CACATGCATGCGGTTTCTAACAGTCAACTAAAGGATCTCTAAGGGAAGGGATAATTAAGTGGACTGCAATCCTCCGTAGCCCCCTCCTACTCTACTAGTAGCCCCACTATAAACCCAATCCTGCCCGTGAAATTGGGTCCCTATTTCTTTTAAAAGTTTTGGAAGTGTCCTTTAATTACAAGCTTGTTGGGTCTGCTGGGTCTAGAACTAATGCCCATTTACAGCTCAATTACACGACTATTAACGTATTAATACATCATTAGCCTTGTCAAGCCTGTTGGCTATTAGGGTACGGGGTTGGAATGAGTGATTGAATAGGATAATATTTTATTGATGAATTCTGTAAGAAAATAATTTAAGTTGATCACGAGGAGAAAATGTGTCCCGTGAGCATAGAGAAGCACGAGGGGTCAGAGAGAGAGAGAGAATATAGAGAGTTTACTGTAATATATATATATATATATATATATATATATATATATATATATATATATGGTTTTTTGACAAAACAACCCTTCTCTATATAGGCCAAAAAATTGAAAAATTGTTGCACTTTAAATTAAAATTTCAACCAATCTCTTAGGTGGACTTTGATAAATTTGAAATTTAAAATTCGAAAAAGTTAAAATGATATTATTTGTGTTTGAAATCTGAAATGCTTTTAAAGGCTTTGAATAAATAAGGTTGTTTGTGTTGGATCAACACTTTAACATTTAAAATTGTTTGATTTTACTATTTTATTCCTATAGTTGAATAGACTATTTGATAATTTTGAGTTCATTTTGCACTATTTCATAAAATACTATAATATAATTAATTTATTAAAATCAAAATAATATTGATATAATATTTAATAATTAATACAAAAAATATGAATATATAAATAATATAATATTTAAAACCAAACAATTAATATGATTGCAATTACTAAAAAATTAAAATTAACAAAATAACAAAATTCCATGAAGCCATGAAAAAGTAATAATTAACAAAATAATATCTTAAAAAGTAATAAAATAGTTAATAATTAACAAAATAAAAAAATAAATTATTAAAAATTAAAATAATAATCAACATTTCTAATAAAACTTAACTGGCAAATTCCAATATTATCATTCTCACCAGAACTTGGGTCTTTCTTCCTCTTCAATTCCCAGCAAAAAGGGCACCATTAGAGGTACCGATAACTCTGGCTAAACAATCAAGGGAGAACCTGATTGACAGAAGTGGAGGTACCAAATTCATCAATATGAATTGTCCGAAAACAACATTTCTAATATTGTCTTTCTTTGCTTTAAGCTATATAGAAGAACCGATCACGTCGTTGAGAGCAACATCGACATTCCTCAACTTCCCAAGTTTGACAAGAGCAACTTTTTCACTAGAATCATTGATATTGTAGGAGGAGTATCTTCTTTCGCTGAAATTTCACAAGATTTTTGAGAAACATCATTACAAGAGGGCTTCAGTTCATCTTCCTCATGAAATCCTCTCTCTTTGACTTGACTTTTGGTTTGGGAGAAGCATATGCAAATTGTAGATTGTAGACAGCAAAGCTACAAAGTCAGTCCATTCTGCAAGTTCCCTCCATGAGCGTCAGTCGTTCTCATGGGGCTCTGTAAGTCGTTCTCATGGAGCTCCCATCAACCGAAAGCAATCCCCCTTTCATGGACGGATTGGCGAGTTCCCTTCGAACAGATCTGTGGATCTGTGAAGTAGAAGACACAGAAAACGTTGGGGAAGCAAGGGAGAGAGAAAAGGCCAGAGGGAGAAGCTTACGCCGTTGGTTCGCCACTATGTCAAGTGGAGAAAATGGAAGTTTGAATGCTCTATTTTCGAGAATGTGGGGTCTAATGATTATGGGTATTTTTGTCTTTCAATGTGGTCTGGAATGCATTTGACCGCCCTTAGATCATTCTTTCAGGTTCAAACCCAAACGCAGGTGGCGTCTCAAAAGTAATATTTTCAAACTTCAAAGGTCTGAAAAGTGTTATCAAACGTCACCGTAAAGTCATATGGCCTATTTATTATTCATTGGTTCACCTTTTATAAGGTGTATTAACAATAAAGACTTTAACAAAGTTAAAGTTGTCACCTACATATCACCAATCTATACTTTTATTTTTACACTTCTTGCTTGTTGATGCACCACAAATTTTGCTTCAATTTTGAATATTATTTTGGTTGTATAAAAATGGTCCAAACTTTGGCTATCAGGAAAAAGAAGTTATTTATTCCTTTTTATAAGAAAAAACAGATTGGGCTCTTGGGAGCTTTCTCAGCATGCCAAGTTATTCCACTCAATCCCTTGTTCTTTTGGCTAAAAGATTATTGATTGTAATTTGTAAATATCCTTTTACCCACACCTATGGTTACATGTAAAGTTCTAAGCATTCCCAAATAGCCTGGGCTGTTTTTTATTTTTTCAAACAACTAAAGTTTTCCATGAAAAAGTATTTTTTAGCATACCTACCACTTTAACCCACTTTAAAGCGTGTTTTGTGCTTTCTACTGTGTAATTGGCGGTGGTTTCAATAAAATCTCTATTTTTGTAACACAGAAATTTATTATGGAAAAATCTATGTTGCTAGAAAGACATGATATCGGAAGAGCTTTAACCAATTACAAAGCCCACGGATTTTGATAAAAACAACCTCATTGCTTACCACTTTTATGATACCCGTTGATTGATTACAAATTCTTCTGCTATATCATAATCAAAGCCATTTATTATTTCTCAATTAGGAATTTGGTGGTGAATGTAAACATTATATATGTACAAAGTTGAGACCATCAAAAACCTTTGTTTAATAATATGATCATATCGTCAAAATATGTGGTGGGAGATGAACCTATATATACACTATGTGTGTCATACAAAACCAATTTTGACTTTTGACCAAGGTTTGAAATATCAATGCTGATATATTCGATATAGGGCATATTGTATTGGTATCATCATACCTGACACGGGATATGCTATGACTGGAGTTATATCCTATTAGTCATGCATATTGGGATGTATCGGATTGATATGGGTGTGTATCAGCTCATATCACATTGTATTGTCCAATACACACCGATATGAATCGATATGCCACACCTTTCTACTAAAAAATGACAATAAAGGAATTCGAGCCCAAGTCACACAATGTATCACCTTAATCTTAAATTGATTCTTAAACCACTAAGCCATCTTTCTTCTTATGTTAACAAGTGAAATAAAATAAATTTTTATTAAATTTAGTATCTACATGTAATCCAAATAAACAATACATATTTATGTTTAAGAATTCCAACTAAAAATTAAAAAGAATAATATTCAAAATTAATATTTTATAAACTGATGGAATAATCAACCTATCAATTGCATATTAAAATCAAAAGATGAATTTAATCTCAAGAAATTTATATAAATAAAATATTAATAATAGAATAATTATTTTAGTACTTAGAATTAATATATATATATATATATATTTAAATTATTCATAATATTTTAACTTACATTACATTTAATAACAATATTTTAACTATTTACAACAATAAAAAATGTTTACAAAATATTTCAGAATATAATATTAAATAGAACCTACCAAATTTACTAATCAACATTTATATCAAAAAATGATTTTTAATTTTAGAAAAGTTATAGAAACAAAAAATATTAATAATGGAATAACTATTTTAGTAATTAAAAATTACAAATTTGCTTATGATGTGTATCTTAGAAAATTTAACAGATTTGATATATTTTAAATTGAGATTATATAATTTTATAAATTATTAATTGATATTTTAATTTACATTTGAGAATTTAATATTTGGTTAACCTTTTTTATTAATGTAAAAGAGTAAACATAGTAAAATAGAAAATAATTTATATAATAACTAAATATGATATATGCATATGTTACGTGTCTTGGACTCCTGATTGATGAATTATCAATAAAATTGTATAATATCTATACATCTCATTATATGAATTATAATATATTTTTTCATGTACATCCTTAAAGTAAACATCTACTATTTATTTATGACTATTTGATTTTAAATTTAATATTAATATATTTATAGAATTTATATGTATTTCTCTAACATATATTTAAGCGTTTTCATATTTTTTACTCTTATCCATGCAATTTTTCATTACTATCAATATCCAAATTCTATCATACGATTTCTAAGTATCCAAATTATTGAATACAATATTCCATACATTTTTCATTAATATCCATATACATGATTTCTTTTTCATGACACAACTTTGAATGTTTCAACCGAATGGACAACATGGTTCAGAAGGTACATTGTCTTTTTCTGAAAAAAAGTTTTTACATTGGCAAACTGATGACCACCGTAATTGCTGATTGATGCACGCACAATTATTGGAGTGAACCTTTCACTCCTAAATATTTTACCAGTAATATTTCAACCATTCCAGATTGGCTGGTGAACTTGTAGCCTGTGCTGTGTTTAGTCGTTTCAAGGAGGATTCCTATCAGGTGTCCAGCAACGGATCCTATTAATTAGTGACTAGCAGATCCCGATGCGGTTAAATATACAAAATCAGTTTTGGTTAATCCTGTTACCAATGTGGATCCAAATTGACGTTCAGCTCAAAGTCTTACCCTTTACGTACCTTGAGCCATTTTCATAAAACAACTTATTTGCTTATTTACTACGATCTATGACTATGAGTCTACGAGTATCTGAATATGATGTACGCTACTCAGAATTGCTGTGGGGCAGCAACAAAAAGCACTTTCCAAGTTATTAAAATAGCTGGTATTGAAGTTGAAGGGCTTTTTCGTCGTTACACATCCATTCAAATTTCAATTTGGAATCTTGGAGAAGAAAAGAAGTAACTCATATGTCATTATCGATTTGTATATAAAAAAACTGAGGGCAAAATAGTCTAATCACTTTACTCATGTCTTCTCCCATCTGAGTACTGAAGTGGGGCTACGAGTGTTTCGAGATGCGACCGGTCATTTAAAACGGTACTAGCAAAACCGCCCGTTCAGAATAAACCGATAAATCTCAAATCTCAACTCCACTCCAGACTCCAGAACCCCGAGACCGAGAGAGGGAGAAGAAATGGAAGCTTAGCGCAACAGGTAAGGAGATGGGTAGGTCCTCTTTACTGAGTCGACTCGTTTTTCTCTTCTTTCTTGTTTGGTCTGCGGCAGCAGCAATAGCAGCAACTACCGTCACCAAGGATGCAAGCAGCAGTGCATTGGCTTCAAGAGCAAGAAGACCTGGGTTTCTCTACACAAGACTCAGGGGAAGATGCACTCCTCAGTAAGATTCGTTTCTCAAACTATCATAAGATTTCCTACCAAGTAAAGAAATGCAAATGAAAAAGAAGCTCTAGTTAGTAGTTGAACTATTCCTATTCATACATCTGCATTTGGTATTTATGATTTTTTGGGGCGGCAAATCGATCCTTGAACAGTTGCAGTAGAAATAGAAAACTGTGTAAATATCAACAAAAGTTTGTGTTATGTTCTTATTTTTTCCTTTCTGGGGGGTGAGGAGGTATTGGGGACATTAAACGATTCAGGCCGAGTCAAGGGAACTCGGCTATATTCTACTAGTGAGTACTTTGTCCTTGTCTATCTTCTACCACACAGCAGAGCTTCAGCTGAAGGGAGGACATTTGTATGTTGATGATCTGTTTTCAATGTTCAATGAATGTAACCCACCACTCATACATTAGAGCTAGCCTATCAGTTTCTGATTAAAAGCTCAAGCTCTGTTGGTTACAGAGATATGATTTTCATACAGTGGATCTAACTTTTTGCCCTTGCACAAGGCATGATCTGAAACAGAGCACTTGTTTCTATTAATTAATATGTGTTTGCTTATTTTATTAGCTTACAGTCCACTTTTACTTTTCTCCCACTTCACGTTTAGTCTTTAAAATGAGATTTGATTTTGAACAGATGTACACTATGGATCCAGAACCCACATTCTCAATAGACCAACAATTTATGAAGCTTGACACTTCATAATGGTGTATGCAATTAGTCTAAATTTTAGGTTAAAGAATGTAATGTAACCTTTCTTATTTAGTGCCCAAGGGGAGAGCTTCTGATTTAGTGCTAACTGCTGGACTCCTAATAGCATTAGAGGGTTTAGGGTTAACAACCAATGATTATTATTGGAATATAAATCACTTTAAATTTTGGTTATATGATTATGCTCGGTACAGGTTTCCCTTCCTTTCCCTTTCTTTCCTTACCTTTTCTTTCAAACCAAACACAGCCTATGTATTAATGTTGCAGTATTAATCTCTGATTTTCTTAAACGGTGATTTGTTTCAAGTCAGCAGCCTTCATCCCTGCCATTATTAGTGGGTTCAATTTGGGTTGTTTAATTTCGATTTCCATTTTGAGGATTTGGTTGCCTGCGTTTTGCATTTATCACAAAAATTTATATATACTCCTTAGTTTTTTCGAATGTATTAACTTTGTTACATTCAAACTTGGAAAAATAGAATTAAGATTTTAGTGAATGCTGTGAAACATCATTTAAATAGAAAATGGGACGTCAAATATGTTTTTATGATATTGAACCAGGGGCTCAGGCCCAAGGTTTCTCATATACTTCTTGACTATGCTGAATGGGTTTGTGTCAGATACTGGAGCAGCAGAAGGGAATCATGGCCAAGAATGATTCCACAAGCATCCTCAGTATCAAAGGTGTTCGGGACACAGGCATTAGAGAGGTACCGATCGGACCTAACATTATTAGAAGCCACAGAGAGAAACGATGACAGCAACAACGCCTTCTTTTGGCTGCTGAAGCAATCAAGCGCGGCCCTGCTTAACTCATATGCGAGAAAGAACTACCCTTACTCTGCTTGGGAAGTGAAGACTCTCCTCATCCAAGCCCTTGTCTCAGAAGAAGCTGCTGCCCTTCAAGCCCAACGCTTTTCCCTTGCAAATGAAGCCTGCACTTAGCTGGCCTTTCTGCCCAACACAGAGCCCAACCCTGTCCCCTGCATAGAAACCTTTTGTTATATTATTATGTTACATAGAACACTAGATTATGTTCTATTACTAGACTTGACGGATATGTTGGTTGTGAAGTATTAGAAAAACTGTAGATTAATTATGTTGCATTTGCATAAAAGATTTTGCTGTGTGTCTGGCTTTTCATGGCTACTTCTTCAGGTCATATCTGGCCTGATATCTGCGCCAATTTAAACCAGAAACAGATGTAAATAGATTATTAATCTTAAATGGGTCAATTCTTCTCATCACATTAAGAGGCTATGCACTGGCTTGAGATTGATACAAGGTCCGGGCTCCACTAGTGGCTAATTAATGGCTCTATTTGTTTGCAGTGCAGTTTCATTTGTATTAGTACAAATGAATGAGTGTAGATGAGAAAGAATCCAAACTATGCTTCAAATCTTAGTTTTCTTTATCTGTAATCCAAAACAAACAAAATAAGACCATCATTCACTTACTTTTGAACCAGTGGAAATGAAATTGCACTTCAAAGTTCAAACAAACCACATCGTTTAGTGCCAAGCTTGGATTGTGTGAATGGATAATATAATCACGTCAAGTAGTTGTTTATTTGAGTGTATAAGATGCTACACTTACACAACTCGTACAAGCACTGTCAACCTTCCAAGTTTATCAAGAGGTTGTTTATTGCGTTCTTTATTTCACGACCCAACTCTCTCTCCTCTAACCAAAAAAAACAAACAACCTAAGAGGAAGACTGCCTCTTTGACCTTGACCTTGAACTAAACACTTCCATCTGCTCTTGGTTGTACTTCAAATTTCTTGCTTCTTCTCTTGACATCTGGTATGAGTTCATCAACACCTCCTCCGGCATTGCCCGCATAATCGAGTTCCTTCCAGAAAGCGAACTCCTCCGTGCATTGTCACTGGTCTTGAAGGAGATCCACCTGAACCCTTCATTTCCAGCTTGTGTCAATACCACAAAGTTCTGTGGTACCACCAGCAGTTGACCTTCACTTAGCTCGTCATCGAACACCAGCCTGCCGTTCTCTTCGACGATCTGACAACGAGCACTTCCTCTTGTAACATAGACCACAGCGTGGGCGTTCATGTTCCAATGTGGTGTAAGGATGGAATTCTGTCCAAAATCCAGTCGCTCTTCAGGATATTGTAGACAAGTCCCTGATATTTCAAAACAATTAAGAATGCAGATAATGTCTTACTCTTACCTTGTTGAGTACTCCCATCTCAGCACTCAGTTGAAGATGGTGGAGGATGGGGAGATTCTGGCTGTTGAGCCTGCTGAGGCGGCCTCCTTTGAACGAGTAGACGTCTGCACGATAGGGGTCTTCTATGTTCTCCCTAAGCCTCATGTTACAAAAGGCCTCTTCCAAGCCATTGTCCCTCGATTGTTGTTGTTGTTTTTCTTCTTCCTCTTCTCTCTGCTCTTGTGATCTTGGTGGTCTTATTACTTGAAGTCCATCATTAACTAGCACAATCTCCCCTCTGTCATCGTCATGGCCCTGTAACTTTCTCGCCGTTTTTGTGCTTACACCGAAAGCCTCAGCCAGTGTCTCTGTGTCAAAGCCACTGAAAATGTTGTTTGTTGATTTCTGCTGGCTGGTGTTTTCTTGTTGATTCTCTTGGTTTCCGGCGAGTTGGAATTTCTACAATGTCAAGGACATACAAGAAAGAAGAACAGTAATTGCTCAGTCGTGTTAATGGACATGGAATAGACAACAATCGGTTTGAGTTGAATTCATGTAAGATCTAATTAATTGGTTTCTTACTCTGAGATTCTGATCGAGCTGGTTGGCATTGTTGCTAGTGTCGATGACAGTTACAGCAACGACCGGTGTATCACCATCGTTGTACCACCAATGGGCTACTCCAGTCGGATAGGCTATGACATCACCCTGGTGGAAGTTTCGGATCTTCTGATGAAAATCTTCATACCTCCGACTTCCTCCTTTTCCTTTTGACTGTTGGAATGATTGGTATGTTTCAGGGCAACCGGGGAAGACAACTCCAGTAAACCCTCTACCTGTAAATGCATCAAAATGAATGAATGATGGACTGAGGACATGCAAGAGAATTAAAGATAGAACGTTTAGTAGCAAGGTGAAGGTTTGAAGGGCGAACCTTGGACGAAGTAGGTGAGCTTAGGAGCATTGGTGTACGAAGGCAAGAGGAGGCCTTTGGGTTCGATGACATGACGAATCACGGCAACACCAGCGCAATTCAACTGTTGGTTGTTCTCTTCCCAGTACTCGGTGACCCCACCTTCCGACTCAATCCGAGTACTGGGTTCGAGAGCCGAGAAGTCCTGAAGTTGACACTCTCTTTGCCCTCGGAACCGATGCTGCTGTTGATGCTGTCCTTGCCACTGGTGCTGCTGCTGCTGATGCCTGTAGGCTACACAGCCATGACACAAGACAAGAAAGGAGAGGAAGAGGGGAAGCAAAGCAGACTTAATCATGCTGCGTTTAGTACTACTATTATTAGTTTGTGTATGCATCGACTTATAGGTGGCTTGTATTTATAAGAGAGATGGATGAGTAAGAGTTCGACACATCTTTGATTGTTGGTGAGAGATGAGATACCTAGTGGACATTCTTCATGGTGCATGGCTTCCAGACTCTAGTAATTGCCGCGTAACTATTTTAGTAAGGGCGGGTGGCCACAGAACCATGAATAGTAGTACGTACTCTTTGACAGAAGAAGACAAGTTCATTTGGCAATCACTATTGCAATGTTCAAAAGGGTCAATAAAAGAAGATTCAGAATTTGTGAAATGCAAGAAATATACTTCAAATTTTAAGATATACAATGGAGAAATTTCAATTCATTTGGAGGCTTACATCACCGATTACCTATCAAAGGGTTAGAAACAAAGAAGCACGGCGGAAGTACAACAACATATGTTGGCGGCCTCTTAAATGGTAACATGAATCCGAGATCAATTTCTCTCCAACCTGGGAAGGATGATGTAGTATGAGATTGACACCAACTGAGTAAACAATTACAAAGTTGGTTTCGGAAGACCCATCTTAGTACATATAGGGAGATGATGATTTAGTATATGAGAAGGCCAATAAGTTCTATGTAAGTTGGGACCACTCTAAAACACATAGGAAGCGTGGATGACGTTACTAATCCAACTGAGTAATCAATTACCGAGTTAGTGCTAGCATGAAACTTCTATTTTAGTTTGAATTTACCAAGTTAGCGCCAATAATGAACTTCTATCTTAGTTCGAATTTACCAAGTTAGCGCCAACACTAAACTTTTATCTTAGTTTGAATTTACCAAGTTAGCGCTAGCATGGAATTTCTATCTTAGTTCGAACTTACCAAGTTAGCGTCAACACAAAATTTCTATCTTAGTTCGAATTTACCAAGCTAGTGCCAACATAGGACTTCTATTCTAGTTCAAAATTACCAAGTTAGCATTAGATAATGATCTCTGAATTTTTGTTCAATTAGGACTTTTTTTTTGAAGAGTTTTAGTAGGATTCTATTATGGAGTGTTTTCATAGATTAGGAAACTTTCTTCTAGGAATCATAAGGGTGTAAGCCTATATAAAGAATAGTTAGGGGAAGGCTAAGACAGTTTTTTATATCAAATTTTCTCTTAATTATTCAGTGAGAAATTCTTCTTCCTAGTAGTTTGAATTCTGCTCTTTTCTTTGAAGCTTTTATCAACATATTTTGTTTCCATATTGGGCCACAACTATAGTCAGTTTGATTGCTTTCCAAGTAGAGAACCTCATGAAACTTTAGGATATCAATATTGAAACTCATTTCCCACTATTTTTGGTCACCACCCGTAAATACAATTAAAATAGATGCTTACCTTGATGATGAAAAAAACGAGCGGAAACACTTGCATTGGAGTTGCTATCCCCTCGTAGCGATTTCAACTCTTGAGCAAGTGCATTGACTTCTCTTCTCAACTTTACCACCTCTTCTTGTATTTTGTTGTTGAGTTTCTACTCCATAATGTGAGCCACTTGTTTCTTCATAGGATCCATAATCCAAAAAAGGATTAAACATGAACTCTAATACCAACTGGCACAGTACGAAAATAAATCACGTTGAGAGAAGTTTCAAAGAAAAGAGCATAAGTTGAAATAAACAGGAAGAAGAATTCTTCACTAAATAATTAAGAGAAAATCAACATAAAATCTCCCTAACTTTGCCCCAACTACTCTTTATATAGATTTCTTTACACCCTTATGCCTCCTACAAAGAAAGTTTCCTAATCTAATAAAACACTCATTATAATCCTATTAAATCTCTTCAAAAATGAAAGTCTTAATTGAATATAAATTTAGAAATCTCGTTGTAATGTTAACTTGGTAAATACAAACTAAGATAGAAATCCTACGATGGTGCTAATTGGTAAAAATGAACAAAGATAGAAATTTCGCGATTATGCTAGCTTGGTAAATATCTACTAAGATGAGTTAGTGCCATCATCTTTACTTCTTACATGTCTTGTAGTGGTCCCAACTTGCATAGAACTTAGCACCATCCTCCCCCTATATGCACTAAGATGGGTGTTCAAAAACTAACTTTGTAAATGTTTACTCAGTTGGTGTGAATCCTATATTGCATTAGGGTGTCAATTGGACCAATTTGGTCCAATATGATCATCTCCAATGTGAGTCCATTACAAATGGATCAAGTCTAATCCAATTCAGTGAATATTTTTGACCAGTCCAATTCAATGTATGGATCATCCAATCTATTCAAATTTGTTTTAATTTAGATTAGTTTTAACCCAAACTTGGTCCATTGGAACCTTTATTCTTATCTTTTATTAATGGACCATATATTATCTCAATTGAATCCAATCCAATATAAATTTATTATGGATGGACTAGTTCCAATCCAATCTAATAAATACTTTGGACCATTAAGTCTGGAACAGTCCAATTCAACATGTCTTGTTAGTCCATTTAATATCCAAATTGATTTTGGTTTGGATGTGGTCCAATCCAAAATCAGTCCATTGACACCCCTACCTCTAGGCCATGGGTCATCAGTTTGACCGTTCAGGTTGAAAGGGTCTGATTGTGATACATGGGCATATATGTATGTATATATAAATCTGCCATTTTGTCAATAAATAATTTATAATTATATTCTATACATATAATATATTAATAAATCTCAGAATTTGGTAAATGGCTGAGTTGATATATTTAATGAGTCAGTTGTATGTATTTATAATTGATTGAGAGAGTTACAACTGAAGTCATAAGTACAACGGGGAATAGAGTTACAATAGAAGTAAAACTCCTTGTGAAATTCAGAAGTAAAGATGCATTATCTCTTCAACTTGCTGTCCTTAGCATAGGTGTGTAAGCATACCTGGACTGTGATACATGAGCCTGGGTAGCATGATCTTGGGCTGACTTGTCAAGTTGCCTAACATCCCCCCTCAAGTTGAGCGGATGGGAGCACACCTTCAACTTGGACCTAGTAAAGCAAACCTATGACTTTGGTATAGAAGTTAACACACTGATCAATTGAGCATCAATGGATTTCTGCACAATTCGCTCATGTACAAAATAATGGAAATTGATCTCGATGTGCTTAGTATATGCCCATGGAAGATGGGATTGGCCTAATAAATTGCCATACTAGAGAATTGGAGCTTGCTTATGCTGAGAACCCAGTACCCAGTTCATAAGTTAAGGAGAAAATCCATGAATGTTCACAAGTGGAAATGGCTAGGGAGTGATACTTCACTTCAGTGCTTGAGCGAGGCACTATAGGTGCTTGTGAGATGACCACCATTGCATGCACGGAATTGGTAATTGAGACAAGGTTGAAGGAGTAAACTATAGTTGATTGTATGTTTCAGGTAGCAAATAATCCACTTTATAGATAGATATCTAGTGAGTTATCGTGCATGAACGAACGGACAAGCATTATTGACAGCGTATGCCACATCTACATATTGGAGAGAACCAACAGTGCTAATTCCTATGCAGTGTCAGATCTGGTAGAGGGTCTCCCTCATGGCAAGAGAGTGTAAATAACATTAGCTAGTGGGAGACTAACATGGCTTAGCCCTATCCATTGCTGTTTTGCAGAGCAAATCCACTATATACTTGTATTGAGAAAATAAGAGGCCTTGAGAGCACCAAGTGGCTATGTTGAGAACGTGATGTAAAGTTCACAAGTCTTTGACTGCAAAAGATAATTTCATGGAGTCAATAACAGCTGAAATGACAATATATCATCAACGTAAATAAGCATGAAGAAAAATCTCAAAGGAGTGCACTTGATAAACACTAAAGAGAGGGGAATCAACTTTGGACTCAACAAAGCCCAAGTCAAGATGATGGATCTTAAAAAGGTGGTACAAGGCCCAAGGGGCTTATTTCAAATCAAATGGGACTTTTCAAATGACAAATATGATTGGACTCAACAAAGCCCAAGTCAAGATGATTGATCTTAAAAAGGTGGTAGGGGCTTATTTCAAATCAAAGGGACTCTTCAAATGACAAATATGATTGGAATATTTTTCATCAATGAACCCTAATGGTTGTTGCAAAAAACCTTCTCTTCTTTTAGATCATGATCATCTTACAAGAAAGCATTTTGAACATCAAATTGTTTAACTGACCATATTTGCGCTTGTGCCAAACTGGTACTCAGTTTGGTGATGAGGCGAACCTTGTGCTGTTTAATTAAATCATCAGGTCTATACTTAAATGTGAAAGACTCCTTTATAACCAATAACGTTCATGTCTAGATACCGCAGAGTTAAAACCTAGGTACCATTTTTAATAAAGGCACTATACTCGTCAAACATGGCCATCTTTCATTCAGAAGTGTTAGGCTCGAGAGAGCATGTGAGCTCCGGTGAGGACACTAAAGGCTGTGTTTGGAAGCGATGCAAATATGTAGAGTGTAAAATGGTTCATATAAACTGTAATGTTGGATTAGTTTTGCACTGACAAACTTACCTTTTTACCAAACAAACTTTTAACTGTAATGGATGCAAACATGAATTTCATTAAAACATATGCGTTTTTTTTATCAAAAGACCACTTGAAAATAAATTTACTTCCTTTTTATTGATGTACCTTTACATCTTATTATCAATGTAAATATGTATTGGTCTGTCATTTGTCAATGCATAAATGTAATGTTGCCACAGACAAAAATGTACCAGAGTGCTACTCTTAATCAGGATTTATACTCCATTTGCATCATTTCCAAATGCAACCAAAGGATTCTTTGAGGTTGCAAACAATCATAGTTTCATGGACCCTATCTTAGAATGGGTCAGCATGGGATGATGAGACTCAGTGGCTGTTAAGTGTAGTGGAGCAGCTGGTGCAATTGTGGGGCCTGGTCCAGTGGTAGCTGCAGGATCAATAGAGCTCGATATAGGAGAAGGAAAAGAGTGGGCCAAGTCTTGGGGCCAGTTGTAGTGAGTTTGTGGAATTGACTAGAAGTGGATTCTAATTCGTAGTATGAAATGAA